CCAGCACATGCGGATTTTTCATGGCACTTTGCGACAACAAAGACATGTTGGACTGTTCTCAAAAAATTTTTTTTTAAAGAACTCTCGGTATCGTTTCGGCTGTCATTGCTCAAAATAATAAGATTCACTAGTATTTTTCAATTACGCATCCAACTAAGCGATTATTTTTTCTAGATTTCAGTGTTTTAATCATTCTTTCGATCCATCAAAATGCAGTAGGAGCCATCAGCTCCGTTTATTCAAGGCCGAATATGAACTGAATTACTAAGGCCAATCTCCAAAATTTCATTTTTTCCTTTTTCCGTTTCCCTTCCCTTCTCTTCCTTTTTCCTCTCCTTCTCCCCGTGTCTTCCCTCTCATTTTACACTTCGAGGAAAAAACTTTCCTCATCAAAAATTAGTCGCTTCAAACATTTTGCATCTTGGAAGGGTGAGCTTTAAAAATGGCGGTGAATCAATTTTATTGCGAATTCGCTGTCGCTAATGTTATCTGGTGGCAGCACACCAGTTTTACAGGAAGATAAAATATCAGTATAATCACTTCTGAGCGATATCTTCTGAGAAAGAGATCGAGGCGGGGGCACTCGAACGGCTTGAAAATCGCCGATTTAATCAAATTTGTATCCCGGACGTGCTTTGCGGCACAAGACAATCTGATTCTGTACGCCTGGCCCAACCATAACATTTTCTTTGCCACCAAATGCTGCTGATGCCTTCTCATTGCGAATGTCGGCCTGAAATTATGAAAAAATTTCGCGGATTTAGAATTTGTACGACTGTATTTTTCTTTTTTGCCGTTTTGAATGGCGACTTATTAGTTCTAACAATTTCACAAAGTTTTATTTCTTTTTTTTTTCACAAACAGTAAACGTTGGTTGTAGTTAAAATGAAACAACAAAAATGTTAGTTTTTACTAGGAACACCTAAAGTTTTATTTGTGCTTTTGAGGATGAAGTAAGACACGCTAATAAGAGAGGAAGAAGAGATGAGTTAACTGCCATGAACAGAGCCTCTTTGATAAAGAAACGGAACCGAGA